GTTGCACTTTTCAGATTAGTCCACCACCTATTCGAACTTGGAATAGGTGATGCATCTCGGAAACATCAATCAGCAACAAGGCATTTAAATCTTGGCACAATATGAGTAGACAGACTCTCTCAGTTGCTCACCCACACACATACACACTCAAACATGCATACAGAGATTGAGAGTAATAAGTTTCTTGCAGAGGAAATATATGGATGAGGGCCTCAGAACAATTCAATTAAGACCAGATTGGATTGGTGCGGTACAGACCAGGCTGCAGAACTCTGTGGGCATGGTTCTGAGGAACAAGGGTTGCATTCACTCCAAGTCGCTCATATTCACTCCATTAAACCTGACTGAGAATCATTTGCCATTTAATTCAGCCAAACTCAGACATTAGCTTGGACAGCGCAGACAAGCACAATTATAGATGGACAAATTACCTCTATTCATTTATGCTGTATTTAAAATGACTCATTATAGTGGACTATTAAATGATGTGAAATTAGAGAAAGCAGCGAAGAATTAAAAAGAGTGTAGCATTGCAAAAAGTGTGGATGAGCAAATGGGTTACCTTGTCTTTGGCTGAGTATTGCACAATCTTTGTGCTTTTCTGTTACCTTGAAATGTCAGAGAGTTCACACATACCTTATCTTGACACCACTTGTTCTGTGTCACTTGGTTCTCTTATTATGATTGAGGCAGGGTTGTGTGGAGGTCTCCTCTGTGTGTATGTGTGTGTGTGTGTAAAGCTGCAACCTGACAGCTTGGGGAAAAAAAACAACCCAAAAGCCATAAAGGCTAAGAAACAGAACAAAACACTGGGCTCACACCTCAAAATTAACAAATGCGCTGCACACGGTTACACAAACTGACACATAAAGGCACACTTTGCTAGTACACACTGCCTGCGGCCTGCTTCTACCGTAATTTATCCACAGTGTGGCTAAAGTTGGAAAAAAAAAAGTGAAACAGCAACCATAATGCTCTGAGTCACTGCATATTGTAATAGGGCCGAACATTAGCCTCAATCCCATATGCTGCAACAGTCAAGTCTAATCAGTTTTGAAGAGACCTTTAGAGAGACCTAAAAAAGGTCAAAAATCATTCCAAACCCTGCACCCATAAAAAACTATATAAAAATACGGATGGGCAATTTGCTGTGCCCAAAGAGGTGACTATATACTACACCCTCAGTAATCATTACAACATGTAATTATCATTTTAACTAAACAAACTGCCATTATTGTTATTATTACTGGGTTTATGGTGGCCTTCGGTAGTGATGATGGCTTCTCAATCGGGTTCTACCATACTCAAGCAGAAGCTGTTGAGTAACTTCTTCAGACGCTGTATTGTTATTCCATTTCATTACTCCCAAATGCATTGTGAATGGAAAACTTACAGTGGCCCTGAGAGGTCAAACTGAACAGCAACATAAGAAAACACCAGCAAAAGAGAAATGCTGCAAAAGCACATGAAAAAAAAAAGTTAATTAAAACACAAAGGAAGTAGAAAAAAAATCGGAAAAAACATGTTTTTGGGGGAGACAATATTGTGACGGACAAGATGTGGAAGTGACAGAAAACCAAACTATTAATATAAGTACTGCACTGAGACAGGCTTAATAGAAGCAGAGGATTCATCTGTGTTGTTAGGAAGAAAAAAATGCAGGTAATGTGTGTTTTAATTGCATAATTCATATAACACTGTAAATATATGTTTGCTATTAGCCACTTGCTGTTAGCTTGTCACTTTAGCAACTCTTCCAACATGTTGTTGTCCCCCAAAAATACTTCTGTTGCATTTTGTACATTTTGGGGTTTTTTTCCCTTAATTTGGAGTGAGTTTGACCCCTCAGGGCCACCGTTAAACTCACTTAGATGCTTATGCTACTCACTAGCTTACCATAAAATTTCTCTATATCCTCAGGTTGGGACACTGATTACTGTGGCACCACACCACTTATCTTACTCTGTATTTCAGCCATGACATGTATGAAAGGGTAATGTAAAGGTCCAAATTTTATTTTATGCTGTTACTAGAAATCCATCACAGTCAGATCTACACTTTGTTCAACCTGATCTCGACTCACTTTGTGTTTTGCTACAATGAGTGAAAATACACAGCTGTGGAAAGTACTCACACACTACTGTACACCTTTCTGGCTCAGATATACACTACACAGCCATATTCATATTCATATATTCACCATTTTAATATTTATTTTAACAAATAGCATCCACCCGTAGGCTCTGATCACACTTTCCCAAGAAAAAGTATACTACATTTGGCTTCATTTAATAATATTTAAAAGGGTCAAGTAGTCAGACACTTTAACTACAATGACTGATCAGCTGCGGCAGGTTTAGATGTAATTAGTACTCACGTTTTTCCCCCCTATCAGGAACACAGATTGATTATGTGAGATTTTAATAACTAAATGTATGGAACTAGTCAGCTGCATCAATTAAACATATCAAGTACTTTCTATTCCTTTAAGCCTCTCTTCTATTAGGTTACAGGGTATTGGCGTATCACCAATTTCCTGCAGGTAAAGTTGCATTTCTCTACAGGGTAGGTTTTGTACAATATATTGAAAACGCATTGTGGGAATAAAAAGAGACACCAGCAGAAAGCACTGGATGGCTTTTGTAACCATATCGAGCACTGCATGTAATGTCATCGCCTCTGCACAATCTATCGTTTTCTTTTCTACTGTCTTGATAGCCTCCGAATATTGCGGGAATTCACTGTTTGCATTATTTGGGTCAGTGTTGGAGAATGAGAAAACGAGTGAAACTCTTCTCCCTATATCGAGACGCTTGAGTGCTTTTTAATGGTATTGTATCTGTATGTGAGGTTGGCTCACTATACTCAGATTTGAGTGTTCTTCAGAGGCTCTCTGTGCAGCTCTGCGCTCTATTGTATGTTCTAATGGGGTAGAAACTGAAGCGATGCTTGAGCATGGTGGGACAGGAGGGAGATCATGCTATAAGACTTGTCACTCCCTGTCTTCATCACGGCAGCAGCCGATGCTCCCACGCTTTTCCTGCAATATACAAAAGGATGTAAACATACAAAGGCCTGGTACTGGTAGTTATGTGTTGGTGAATATGGATAAATTAGATATGGAACAGTGTTTTTGCTTTTTTGACTTGTTTTGGCTTAGACATACAAGTAGTGGAAACCATCTGTCAACATATTTGCCGGCAGTGTGTTTTTGAGCTACTGTGCCATACACTGCTAATGGTAATCATGCTGCTCTCATACTTTTTGTTCCACAGTAACTTTTGTTGAGGACAATGCATTTTCCAGCATAATAGATTTCCAGAAACTTTCTCACCCATAAAGGAGCAATTTAACTCCTTGGAAAAACACCAAATTTCAAAATGCATTTTTTTTCTAGACAGGAAAAGTATAATGATGCCAAAGGCGACATTTATGCAAAATTAATTTGGCAAAAGCTAACACTGGTTATGAATAATCTCCAAAGACCTCTGATTCACTGATATGTTGTGTATACATGCGTGTTTGCACTTTAAGAGTGTGCTTTTTTTTTTTGCTTGTTTCTGCCCATCTGAAGGAAATTCAAGCTTTAAGGCTTCCCAGGAGAGGAAAGTACCAAAAAATCTCCCTTTTCCCTAAAATAATTACTCCTTGCTGGCGTTTGTGCCTGTATTCATTCATGTAAGCCAAATTGTGTCTCTTTAATTTCCCTGAATCTCATAATAGCAGATTCAGGGAAATGATATTTTACAATCCCAGCAGAAGCCAACTGCACATAGGAACTGACTGGGTTTAGGCTGGGCTTAATATCATTTTACGAGCATAAACAGAAACAAGTGCAATGAGAACATTGCGAACCAGACTTTGGTAGTCTTAAAAAATGGTATTTTAATAAAAGAGATCTTACAGAAAAAGAAAGTTTATGTTTAAAGCACCACTGGAGACTGCAGGCAGAAAAACTCCCACATACATGAAATCAGACACAAACAGAAAGGAAAGCTAGAGGGCAGAGAGAAGAATACACTACAGAGGGAATGGGCAGAACAGTGGAGAGGAGGCTGTTGAAGTGAATAAGCAGTGTATGACTGTTTCTAATTAGGACAGCTCACAATCCGTGACATCAGAAAACAGCCAATCATTTCCTCTCATTTCACCCTTGTCAAGTGTGACATGTCTTTGCTTTCCACTCAAACCTTGAGCTAGTGGTGTCCGCACACACAAAAACACCCGTGCGTGCACGCAAATTAACGCACAGGCTGTCACTCACAGCTCGTTCCCTTTCGCCCCTGTCTGCCACATTCCCGGTCTCCATCCACTCTTAAATTTCGCACTCTGTTGCATGCACTCAAACACAACAACAGCGATGCACACAACAAACATGCACCTACCCCACGGGGCAGGACAGTGTGTCTATTGAGACTGAGAGGGGAGTTATAAATAGTAGTCCTCATATCCTCTACTGCTGATAGCATCTTGCACTGTCTAGTCTTATGACATACACGCATACACACATACACACATATAAAGCTCAGAAACGCACACACAGAGATAAGTGTGTATTGTGAGTTGAGATTGTGAGGCAAACGCTCAACTAGACAAAAGGCCTGATAACGTAGAAAACAAGCACACCAAAATCTGCATTTATCATAAAGGGGGTGTCATACCTATCTTTATATCACATATTAACCATAGATAGCCAGCTATCTGCTGGGTTCATGGGAGGAGAAACACACTGATATGACAAAAATTCCTCAGTGGCCACTTGCTAAATATAAACAGGCACAAAAATAGCTGTCAAAAAACAAAGGATGAAAAACTGAGCAGGCAGCGCTGACCACTGACCGCTTGAACATTCACAAACAGTATATACCATCACTTTATTAAGAACAGAGTATATCTGATTATTGCAGAAATGTAAGTCTTTTAC